TCCCTCTGAAATGTGTCAGTCTACTGCATGCTTCAATGTCTCTGGATCTTTTTTGTCAGCTTATTTTGTTCATTAGTTTCCACATATGAGTGAGATCATGTGATACTTGTCTTTCTCTGACTGGCTTATTTCATTTAGCATAATACTCTCCAGGTCCCACCATGCTATCTCAAAGGGTAAGGGATCCTTCTTTTTTACAGCTGCATAGTATTCCATTGTGTAAATGTACCACAGTTTTTTAATCTATTCATCTACTGATGGGCACTTTGGGCTGTTTCCAGATCTTAGCTATTGTAAATAACACTGCTATGAACATAGGGGGCATATATTCTTTCTGATTGGTGTTTCTGACTTCTTAGGATATATTTCTAGAAGTGGAATCACTGGGTCAAATGGCAGTTCAATTTTTAATTTTTTGAGCAAACTCCATACAGTTTTCCATAGTGGCTGGACCAGTCTGCATTTCTACCACCAACAGTATACTATGGTTCCCTTTTCTCCACATCCTTGCCAGCACTTTTTGTTTGTTGATTTATTGATGATAGCCATTCTGGCATATGTGAGGTGATACCCCATTGTGGTTTCAATTTGCATCTCTCTGATGATTAGCAACGTTGAACATTTTGTATATCTCTTAGCCATTTGTATGTCCTCTTTGGAGAAGTGTTTAGTCAAGTCTTCTGCCCACTTTTTAATTGATTGAATTGTTTGTCTTCCTTTTGTTGAGTTGTATGTGTACTTTATATATTTTGGAAATTAGTCCCTTATCAGATGTATCATTGGCAAATATGTTCTCCCATACATTGGGTTCTCTTTTCATTTTGATGCTCGTTTCTTTCACTGTGCAGTAGCTTTTAATTTTGATGTAGTCCCATTTGTTTATTTTTCCCTTTGTTTCTCTTGCCCTAGGCAAAGTATCAGTGAAAATTCTGCTCCATGAGATGTCTGATATTTTGCTGCCTATGTCTTCTTCTAGGGTTTTGATAGTTCCATGACTTATGTTTAAGTCTTTTATTGATTTTGAGTTTAATCTTGTGCATGGTCTAAGTTGGTTTAGTTTCAGTTTTTTGCATGTATCTGTCTAATTTTCCCAACACCATTTATTGAAGAGACTGTCTTTACTCCATTATGTATGCTCTTAACTTGTTTGTCAAATTTTAATTGAGCATAATGGCTTGGGTCAATTTCTGGGTTCTCTGTTCTCTTCCATTGATCTACATGCCTGTTTTTGTGCCAGTACCACACTCTTTTGATTACAGTGACTGTGTAGTGTAACTTGATATCTGGTATTGTGATCCTTCCAACTTTGTTTTTCTTTCTCAAGGTTCTGCAGCTATTTGGGGTCATTTTCAGTTCCATATAAATTTTGGAAGTATTTGTTCTAGATCTGTGAAATATGCTGTTGGTAATTTAATAGGGATTGCATTGAATCTATAGATTGCTATGGGTAGTATGGACATTTTTATGATTGATTCCTGTTTATTCCTTTCAAGGAATTTTTAAATTTCAGCTATGTCATTCTTCAATTCCACTTGATTCTTATTCATGATTCTACCTTTTTTTTATGCTGGTATAGTTCTCATTAAGTTGCTTTTAGTTCTCACTAAGTTGTCTGAGCATCCTTGTAACCATTACTTTGAACTCTTTATCTGACAAATTGCTTATCTCCATTTCACTTAGTTCCTTTTCTGGTGATTCCTCCTTTTCTTTCATTTGGGGATTGATTGTTTCTCTGTATCCCCATTTTTGCTGTCCTTTTGTATGTTTCTGTGTATTAGATCAAATTGCTATGCCTCCCAGTCTTCTTGGGCTGGTCTTATGTAGTAGATGTTTTATGGGACCCAGTGGTGCCGTCTCTTAGATCTTCCAAGCTGGGTGCTCTAGGAATGCCCCTTGTTTGAGTTATTTTGGTTTTCCTATTGCAATTGGGTCTTGCATGTTGTTGTCCCATTTGTGGATGGAATCTCCTCTTAGGCTGGCTGACTGTGAGGCTCACCCCCAATCATGTCGTGCAACCCCGATCATGTCATGCAACTATTGTGGAGGTGCTGATACAGCAAAAATCAAGAAACAAAAGAAACAAAACAAAAACATACACAAGACCCCCACAACGACAACAACAGCAACCACAAAAGAAGAGAGAATTAAGAAAGAGAAAAGAGAGCCAGAATGATAGGAGAAAAGAAAGAAAATATGAGGAGGAAAAAAAGGGGAAGAAAAAGGAATATGAAGGGGCAGAGATGAAATAAAGAAAATAAGAATAAAAAATAGGGGAAGGAAAATGGTATAAAAGAGGAAGAAAAAAAAATAGAAAGGAAAATAGAGGAGAGAGCAGATAGACCCAAAATAAGGAAAGGACAAAAGATGAGAAAGCAGGAGAAAAAAAAATAGGAAAAAAAATTGAGTAGGAAAAGGAAAGAGAAAAATTCAAAATATGAAAGAAGCAATAGAGATTAAAATAATTACAAATCAGTAAAGCAGACAGATAAAGAAGATAAAAAAAGGCCCAGCTGGGTGTGGCTCAGCGGTTGAGCGTCAACCTGGGAGCCAGGCGATCGGGGTTCGATTCCCGGTCAGGGCACATGCCCGGGTTGTGGGCTTGATCAATGACTCTCTCATCATTGATGTTTCTGTCTCTCTCCTTTCCTCTCTCTGAAATCAATAAAGATATATTAAATAAAAAAAATAAAGAAAAAAGGAAAGAAAAAGAGAAAAATTTTTAAAAATGAAGTGTCATTCATCTCAGCAGAGTTTGGTGCCTCCTGGGAGCTCCCTTTGGATCCTGCTCTTCTGATGACTGCAGCTGACTGTTCTGTCTGCCAACTCTGGGCTTCCCAGGAAGTACTTAGATGCTAAGCACTGTGAGAACCTATCCTCCTTTGGCTTTCAGCAACCTGCTTGGAGCTCCAAGTGATCCCCAGTTTGTTCCTATGTCCACTGGACTTGGCTAAGCCTTGGCCCAGCTGCACTCTAAGACTAGTTTGTTAGCAGCACTGGGACCCAGGCTGGGTCAGCAAACTTCCTCAGGTTCCCTGAAGTCTGCCTCCACTCACCTTTGCCTACCAGCCAGCTGTCAATCTTAATCACTCAAAAGTCTGTTTCTGAAAGGGCGTTAGGTAGAACGGAGAGTACAGACCTTTGGGTCTCCCATAGAGGGAGGTGCTGTTCAGATTTCAGGGAAAGTTGTGGGTGTGTTTTCTTGTCCCAGAGATATTCCTCTGACAGTGTCCCAGAATATTACTCTGCCCTCAGCAGACAGAGATCCTCGTAATGCAGTCCAGTGGGATCAGCTGGATAGCGGGAGTTTCCATCACTCTCCCTTGCAAGGGAAGCACCAGTCAGGTTCCCGGGGTAGTGGGGTGGACCGCCCCATCCCCACGCCAGTGACTGAGGCTTCCTGGGACTGTTCAAGGCCCTGGGCTTGGCCTCTGCTGCTGTCTCCTCTGCCAAGGTCAAGATGCAGGGTGTGGCAGGCAGGGCTCCTGAGTGTGTGGTGGGCTATATCACCTAGGGCAGGGGTCTTTCCTTTTCCTGAACTGTGGCCTCTGGGAGGAGCTAGTGTGTCTCAGGAAAAATGGTTGCTTCCGTTTGGGGGGGTACAACCAAATGCTGGACACAGGGCTTCTGTTTTTCTACATTTTCCCCCCCAGTGCTTCCCACCCCAGCCTCTCCTTAGGCACCTCAAGACCTCACCCCCCTCCCTCCTCCAAAGTCTCAGGTGAGTAGCTGCAGAGGAAACTCCTGTGGGCTCTAGGTTTAAAAAAAACCTGTCTTTTTCTCCTATCAGCTCCGGACTCTCCAGTGGCCAGCTGCCCTGCAGCCTTTCAGGGCTGGGTGCTCCATGGGCCGCTGGTCTGGCTCTGGACCCTGGAGCCAGCCTGGGTCCTGGGCCTCCATCCTCTCAGGGGAATAACCCTCCCAGAGCTCAGGGATCCCTCCTCACTCAGCCTGCCACCCCGGGAGCTGGGTCAGCCCCTCTTGCCCTTCCTACTAATTAGTCTCCAGGTATTTTCTGTCCTTCCTTGATATCAGTTGCCTCCTCAGCTGGACCTCAGTTGGTAATTCCAGGTGAATGTTCCCCAATTTAGTTGTATTTCCAGTCTGGCCCTGGGAGGAAGTACAAGAAAGGTGCCCACCTATTTGGCCTCCATCTTCTCCCCCCACCCCCTACCAGACTTTTTAAAGGGATTAGTGGCACCCAGCCTGGTTGGCTCAGCGGTTGAGCATGGACCTATGATCCAGGGGATCGAGGTTGGATTCCCAGTTAGTGCACATGCCAGGGATTCTGGCTCGATTCCCCAGGAGGGGATATGCAGGAGGCAGCCCATCAATGACTCTCTCATCATTGATGTTTCTCTCCCCCTCTCCCTTCCTCTCTCTGAAATCAATAGAGACATATAAAAAAATAAATAAAGGGATTGGTGGTCACAGAACTTTAGGAAATTGCCATCTACGGTCAAGTCACCTCTTCCACATTCCTGACATGGCTATGCTCCTCCATTTCCTGTGACCCCTGCTGACTCCTCAGGGAGCTGCCAGTCTGGGGGAAGACCTCAATTTATGAAGTGCTAGATGAGACCACTGCCAAGAAGTGCTTGCTCACCTTCTTTTAACGGCAGGGGAATCTCCCTTTCCTGTTCTGGGTGAAGCTGAAGAAGATTCATCAACGAAGCCCAATCCTTCTCACCAACCCCAGCCCATACCTCCCAGCAATTGAACTTGAAAAACACCTGGTTAAAACCACTTCCTATATGAGACTAGAGAAGAGGCTGCCAGGCACGATTTCCTGGCTGAACAAATCAGCCTCACGCTTATAGAGAGCCACTCCTGGCTGTCACAGAGACTGGATGGACCAGCAGGGATGCATCTCTAATGGATTGATCCTGTCATCCCCCATCCTCTCAGCACGATGCTAACAAGAGGCTGACAGGAAACCCAGAATTCTGCAGAGAAAGATCTCTTGACTGTCCCTAAGCAGGCAGTCTATCCCAGGTGCTAAGATGGAGCTACACTTGCTGATGTGGAAATTCTTCACATTCATCATGGTAACTGGCTGCGTGACAGGTAAGGGGTCACAGATGCCCTTGGGAACTTGGGAAGGCTAATGGATGTCACCTCTCCCAGCCAAAGAATCAAAGAGGGCACCTAAGTAGAAGGTACAGAGAAGGGGGTTGAATCCTGGGCTCTACCCCTTGTCTATGACCCTCTGGGGCCCCATTTTATGCCTCAGTTGTTCCTGATCTATATAAAGAGCTAAGAATGGTGGACTCGCCTGTCACTCATAGTTTTTCACAGTTAATTCTGGGATGAATAGAATGACCTGATATTTGAAAAGAAATTTTATTTTCTTTCTCAATGGATTTAGTTTTCTGCTGCACCCACCAGCTGTTAAGATAATACTAAGAATCTGCTAGAAATCTCTCTAAGACCAGGAAAATGTGCCTGAGATGTCAGTATCTTATAGGAAATATTAGGATAATTTAAGATCTCAGAATAGTTTAGCTTCAGTGTTGTACCCTTTGATTTTTACTACCTCTGGAAATCATACCTAGGAAACTCCTTAAATGTGCAACTTTATAGAAAATTTGGAAATATAATCTTGCTCACTTTCAGAGTACTACTTTTTCTTATGTTCTTATGTGTGTATATGCATGTACTATATGTATGTGTATAAGGTAGTTATATATATGCAAACTGAATTTCATTTATCCTTTCAGATGGGTTTTGTCAATTTTTTTTTTTTAAGAAATAACCACCAACTTCTACCTCAAAACCACCCTTCCTAATTGACTATGAATTTTCTCATGACTTCTTCTCTTGCTTACCCAGGAAGACAGATAAGGTAGCAAAGTCTATAATTTCATATCCTTAATTTCTAGATATATAATAACACTAACTGGCCACAGATAAGAAGTGAAACATGATGATGCATATATCTTTTTGCTTATTTGAGGGAAGTGGACAAGTTATGTTGGGCTGTGAACTGACCCAGGTATAGGTATGTCTTTGGAGCTAAAGTGGGTATGATTTTAGGAATGCTTATAATATGATTTCTGTCTCAGCAGGGTCTTTGCAAAGTGGGAGGTCAGTCCAAGCCAGAACAGAGAAGTCTTTACAATTATTCATGCCCTATTTCTGGGAAACACATTTTAAGTAAACTTGTGTTATTGCTAGCAAATGGTAACTTACCTCAGGATATGAGTGGTCTTGCTGGCAGTGGGGCAAGTGAAAGTATTATGAGAACTCTTTCATTCACTCAGTTCTCCAAAAATCTATCAAATACCTCTTATTCCCATTTTCAGCACTGTAGGAAATATAAAAATGAACAAGGCAGTCTCTATCCTTAAGAGATTTATAACATAGTAAGAGGGAGAAAGGCATAGATGTAATAACAGTAATACAGTAATAAAGTCAGAATGTGATAAGATCTATGGGAGCATGAAGCCATCAGAGAAGGCTTCATGAGGTGGCATGCAAGAAGAAACCCTGATGGATTAGTGAATTTCCATAAGTGGAGATTCCAGACAGAGAGGACCATATTAGCAAAGACACAGCAGAGCATTAGGGAGCCACAAGTGACCTGCTGTGGCCCCCAGCACTGGATGGTGATGTGAGAATATTGGGAATTAAGACTGGAAAGGTAAGATGGGGTCAAATTAATGATCCAAGGTCTTGGATAACAAGTTAAAAATATTTAACTTCATTTGGCAGTCAACAAAAGACTACTAAAAAGTAAAAATTATCATCTATAGAGTACCTTCTATGTGCCAGATATATGTCTTGTTTTAATCTTCTTAATGACTTTGCAGTGTGGATGTCACAAACCCACTAGATGAAGAAGAACCCAAAACTCAGAAGTCACACAGGCAGTGACAGAGCTGGGGTGCAAACCCAGGTCTCTCTTGCTTGTGCTCTTTCTGTTCTGTTCACTTCAGACAGGGTCAGAGCTCTGTGGAGAGGACTCTGGCATAGGGTGGAGAAACATTAGGTGCACAGAGGCAGTTCATGAGGCTCCTGAGATAGTCCAATCCAGAGGCAAATGAGGACTTGGTGGTTAAAGAGAATGCAATGGATTGGGTAACAAATAGTCCCTTCTCAGACTTTTTCCTCCAAGAACCTAGTCTTAAACAAGTCTTTTTATTCCTCAGGAGTGAGAGGTCTAATGAAATCAAACAGATTGTCAACAGATGCAATTTCTAGCTGATTCATAAGGCTGATTTTCATTCTGAAAGTTTCCGAAGCCACCATTTAAAATTGTGATGAGTTACAGTGGATGTATTAATCAACTTGGATGTTTTTAGTCTCCATATTACTGGGTCCTGGGATGTGGTTAAAAGAGAATTCTCCTGATGTTACCAATAGAACACGTTATTGAAGGCACCTTTCTCAGAATTGTGGAAATTCTGAGACTTTATCTATGCCTTCATCATCTTTCTTTCATTCTAGGAATTCTGTGATCAAATCTTCATCCCTTAGACTCAAAAATAAAAAAACAAAAAAAGTACGGAAACCCATTAAGATGATTTTTCTAATTGTCCCTTCTTGTAAAGACTACTGCCCACACTGGAATTTCCCACCTTCATATTTGTCATTAGATCATAAAATGTTTAACACTTCACACTTAATCATTCAATTTGTCTATATCCTAAAATGTTATTATCACTGTTACCTCGCTCATTTTCAAGACATACCTTGGGGAACCCTGGCCGGGCAGCTCAGTTGGTTAAAGCGTCGTCCCCATACACCGAGGTTGCAAGTTTGATCCCAGGTCAGGGCACATACGAAAATCAACCCATGAATGCATAAGTAAGTAGAACAACAAATTAATGATTTTTTCCTCTCTGAAAATCAATAAATAAAAAACATATTTTTAAAAAGACATACCTTGGTGAGATAGGGTTTTGGTAAGCCTACGGAGTACCTCATAAAACAGTTGCTACTTTTTAAAAAATAGTGTATTCTTAAATAGACAGTGCTGTATATTGCCTGTGCATGTGCTCCACTTTAGATGTGAGGAAACTGAGGCATAAAAGAATTGACTTCACTAATGGATAGTTAGAGATTCTAGCCAAGAACTGTGGATGTGCACTACAGCCCCACCACTTGACCCCATTCATTTCAAAGAAAGCATTTTTAAACTTTTTTGGCTAAATCTTTGAATATTCTGGATACTTCTGTGTAGTTTCTTGTTGAAGTAGTTCCTATAATAGGTAGAGTCACCCTTAAGTCAGGCTATCCCTCAACATGGTGGCCATACAAGTTAATTTCCCTGCTCCTCCCATTGCTCAGTGATCAGTAGGAACCTTAAAAATAAACAGAGTTCCCTTAGGGAGTGGGGCATGTCACCTGAGGTCAGTGGAGAGAATTAGAGGGAAATAAGACTTTTCAGGGAGTTGACAGAGGGCCAAACCACTTCCTAAGGCACTTGTTGGTGGACTCAAGAGAAGACATGTGAAGGATGTGATTTTTGACAAATTTCTATACCTCCCTGGGCCTCAGTTTCTCTCTGTAAAATGAGAAGGTTGATAGAGATGATTTTGAGGTCCCCTTCCAGTTTCTGTCAAGAATTCTCAAAAGGGGGATAGAAGAAGAAAAAAAAAAAGCTCTGTTTAAAAGGCACTTTCAAGCTGGGGTACTTTTGGATGAAAAAGTTTCCAAACTGAAGACATACACCAGAGGACCTGGGTTAAGAAACCTTTGAGTGTCAAAGTACCAAAGCTGACATCTCATTGTAGGTTATTTCCAACTCTCTCTGCTGCACTCAAGCGTAACCCAGTGCTTCTCTAATTGCTGTAGTTGTAAATGTCAAGGCAAAAAACCTCACTGTTGGTGAGGCCTTCTGCTGCTTGTTTGCTGTTGAAGGAATTTTTTCCTGAAACCATTTCCTTGTTTCTGACCGGAGAAATCTTACACGAGTGGGAACCTATTTCTCTTCCCCTTATTCCAAGCCATACCCTGTGAGAAAAGTAAAGAGTATCTTAATTCAATTGATTGCTTCAAAAAGTTACAAGCCCTTCACCCCTGAAAATGTTCAAATAGAGGCTGAATATTCCCATTTCTGAGGAAAGCCATGGATTTGTGCATATGCTGGCAGGGAAGGCGGACTGGGTGACGTTCTGGGTTCTCCATTCTGGTTCTCCTGTGTCGTCTTCCAACCTCTATTGTTTGCTTCCCCTCCTAGAAAAGGAAATTAGGGACACGTGATTTTCATACTTCTCAAATCCAAAAGCATCCAGATCACATATAAGTATGGATTTCGGGTTTTAATCCACTGTCTGCTTCCCCACTCCAAACTTTGGGTGGCAGTGAGAAACATAAAAGGAAGGAGAATTTGAGTGGGAAGGTGACTGAGGCTGGGTGGTGGGAAGCCACTAAAAGTAAAATTTGCCCTAGTCAATTTGGCTGTGGTTAGAGTGTCAGCCCTTGGACTGAAGAGTCCCAGGTTCAATTCCTGCCAAGGGCACGTACCTCAGTTGCAGGCTTGATCCCCGGCCCTGCGTGAGGGAGGTAACCAATCAGTGTGTTTCTCTCACATTGATGTCTCTCTCTCTCTCTCTCTCTCTCCCCCTCCCTTCCATTATCTCTGAAAAGGAAAGCAATGGAAAAAATATCCTCAGGTGAGGATTACAAATAAATTTTAAAAATTTGTGTAGAAAGGTCCAACCAGCAGAAAGCTTAAATGATAGGCTCTGATCCCTTTCAATTTAGAGTCTAGGATTTCTTCTCTCTATATTGACAACATGTACCATCCTGGCATCAGTCTATGGTCCATCCAGGGGCCCTCTGTTATTGGGGGGTCTCTACACTTCTGAGACCCTCTTCTCTCAATTCTTTCTCTAGGCAGGTATCAGGTAAGGAAAGATTGGACACCCTTAAAGACCTTCCTCACCTCCTGCTTTCCTCTCTGGTGACCCTTTCTGATGATTTCTTCAGTAAGTTCTGGTTAGGTAAAGTTAGATGCTGCCCCAGGTAGCATTCATGGCGGGGAAAGGCCCAGAGAACCTCACTACATAAAGATGAATCTCATGTATCATTCCTATATACACAGCCTGAATTTCTCAACA